GGTTAAAATACTTCGCTAATTTCTATATAATCAACTGATTTCTATTTTTTACACGGGAAGAAACATGCTTCTTTGTTCTTCTTTAAGGTGGCAAGCGTCATGATGAATCGCAACTCTTTGATAAATTATCACCGGATGCTCAATGATCTTTTTGAGGAAGAGCTTATGCAAAACGAAAAAATTTCGACAATAATATTTTCATCCCTGCGCACCATATATACTCTAACATATACATATTTCACCATTATGATAGTAATGTTGTTAGCATATTTTATGTCTTCGTATATTTGTATGATCCACAATTTTCTCCACTTTAATTCATCCATGAACTGTACTCTACCAATCAGCAGGGAATTTGGGTGGTTCTGGACCAATCCTGATAATTTTTTATATTATCTACATATGTTCTACGAGACAGGCCTAATGACACTCGGCATCATAACGACGTGCGGCATCGATAGCGCTTTTGGTTTCTATGTTTATCAGTTCAGTTCGACACTACGCGCCATGATGTTCACTCTTATGAATCCTCCGTCCACTGAGAAATTCTCGGATCTCCTGAAAACATGTGCAGTAAAACATCAGAAGCTACTGCAATGTCGCAACACGCTGGAACACGTCTATGGACCCATCGTCTTATGGCATGTTGTCACCAATGCCGTGCTTATTTGCGTGATGATATATGACTTCACATCAGTATGTAAACACATTAACGCAAAATATATAGATGTTTTATTTTATTATCTAGTCCATTGTGCAGTCGTAATCTATCACAAAATATAGAATCAAAGGCGGTGCTTGAAAGTTTTTTACTCCGCTAATGATATTGCTTTGCACAAATAGTCACTAACATAGTATTAATCGTTAAACATTTGTAACAGTTACCGGTCTTTAATTTTGAAAACCTGTTTTCAACTGTGATATATGCTGCAAAAAAACTGCTTCAAACATATATGTACGCATGGTATGGCACTTTTCTAACAAATGCGGTAAGTTTTTATAATCTAGTAAAACAATTATTGTGTAACTCAAAATTGACCATTTTGGATACGTACATTTAGGGTGAGGATTTTAATAAAGGAATATACTTTAGCAAATGGCCCAATTCTAATCTCGATCGTCATGTAAGAACAAATGTTATTGTAATGATGATGCAAAAACCAATGACCGTAAACGCAGTTTTTTCTCCCGTCGATGTAATTATGTTTACCAATGTAAATATTTAAATTATAATACATTTCAATAAAAAAAAACATCATAACCAAAGTCACTTCCTGTAGTTTTTGGACGCTGAATATGAATCTGATTTTCAAATTGCTCTATTATGTCACAATTTTGAAGAATTTTCAGTTAAGAATTGTAAAAAGACTGTTTTTTACATGTATGTATTATAGAAATAAACCTTTAAAGTGGTTTTGAAAAAAATGTATACATATTTTGGAGACATTTTCTGAGATATTGCGCGAGAAGAGCAAATATTCATTTCAAGAAACCGGTTTCTAATTGTGTCAGGATTTTCAGGATAAGTTGGAGAAGCGAAATGATATAAACTTTGGCTATTACAGTTGGTCCACATACATAATATTCATTATAAAGCACTTGGATTATATTCGTAAAAAATCAATATCATATTTTAAAACAATTTTTCTTAAAACCATGTTTACAAAATTGTGGAGAAACTCTCCTAAAGAAACGGCTTGATCGACTGATCTGAAATTTTACACATTTATTACTGATACTTTTTTCTGCAATTTGTAAATCACGATTTGTTTATATTCAATTATATAATTCATTTTATATAGAAAATGTTCGAAAAATGCTGAAAATCAAAGCATGGCTTTCGCCTTACTGCCATTTTGTTAAATTTCTATATTTAATAATTTAACTCAAATGCTGGTTCAATGGCTACATATACCAATGCAGAATGTAGATGAAAGAGTAATTGAAATATTTTAATTACTGGACTGCCAGGAACTTCTTGCAATTTTTATGTTATTCTTGACGCGCAAAATTCAATAATTCGGGAGAGAGGAATAGAGAAGGAGAAGTGTCATTTTACCTCTGAAACTTATAACACAAAACTTTCCATTAAAACAAATAAAGATCATCTTAATCAGTTGTATAATTTATTCGCAATCCACTTTCAAAAAACAGTCAACTTTTACATCTTTAAATGAGAAAGATTCTTTAAGAATGTCAGGATTTGTGGAATTTTCAGCTTTCGAAAGGAATTTTTGTGTCAACTATAATTAATAAAATATTCATAGTTAAATATGGGGTTTATTTGAAAAAAACTACGAATTAGATCATTGACAATTTATCAAATTTTCAATTAAATTTATTTAAACCTAAGGGTTTTTTAGATTGCTAAATACAAATTCAAAATCTGATATGGCGGATAATATTTACAACTGCATACTTTTTGCATATTAATGTAATTCTAATTATTTCGCTTTTTTTAACTGCAGATGGTAAATGCTGCAATGTCCTATTTTTTCCTGTTCAAATCTATTAATATATAGAATAAAGATCGATAGAAATCGTCACGTAAGTTTTGAAAACATGGACAAATTCATAAAATGATTACGTTATCATTGTGTTATTAATACAATCTTAAAAAATACAACAAATATAATCTATTAAGATTTATTTTATTATTATACGATTAATGGTTAATCCATATTTAACTCTTTCTTTACAGCACACGTGACCGTGCGAGTATGGTTTCTCTGCATGAAGGAATCTACCGCGAATGTAGTTACATTTTGCGTAGACAGAATGAAACATGTGAATAGATAGTGTTATAAAATGTAGATAAAAAAGTTAAAACCTTATAACAGATAATGTGTAGAGAATAATTAGAAAATAATTAGCTTAGAAAATAATTTTCTAAATGTTAAATAGAAACCTAATTTAAATAAAAATGACTATTCATGTAATTATCAACATTATACTACCAAACGGAAAAAAAATAAAACCGTATTTTTAATACGGTTTTAATAATTAAAATCTGCGAATAATTTATGTCAATAATAATGTCTCAGCCAGAACTCGAACCTGGAATTTCAAATATTACTACTTTGATTTTACTCATGATGACGTTTTAATATCGAAAAATATTTCAGAGCAGTATGCAAAATCAGATATGTATATAAATTCGCGCACTAAAATCCGGTTTTGACCAAATATAGGAGTTTTTTATTTAATCAGATTTATTCTCATTGGTATAAATTCGTATTATATTGTATACTATTATATTCTTAATGTTTAATCTACATTTAAATAAGATCGTGTCATAACTTTCCTAATTATTTTGCGTGTTTAAAAGGCTATTAAGTCATACACTAATAGTACATATATAAAAGAAAAATCAATATCATATATCATAAACATACCTATTAAAGAAAAGAAGTATCGAGCGCAGGTGATTGAATAGAACCCTTTTATTATAAAGATATATTCTCAAGTTGTGTAAGCATCAATATACACATTGTTAACGATACAACAACAATGTTTCGATCGACAGTGTAAACTATTTTGTGTCAGAAGTAAAAATAATCGATAATCTATTTGTTGTTGTAAAAAAGATAAATTTATGGAAAATTGTGGAACATCATCGATTAATATAGCGTGTGCACATATGTTTAATAAGATTGTTAAGCTGCACTTAATTCAACAAAATGTATAAAATAATATATACATACCAGAAAAACAAACTATATAGGTGATTGAACGGAATCTCTTTTATACAGACTTCTGCTTACATCTTCACTATACCAAAGTCCTAAGTGTATAAGTAGCATTATTCTTCCGATGTCGTGCGCATAGCCAACAACGGTATACTGACAACATGATCAATAAAATAGCTTTTCTTAAATCGTGTAAGAAAAGAGAATCGTAAATCTGTCTTTAATAAGTTAAATAAGAAGAAATAACCCTAATCTTGATGCGTTTTGCAGTGCAATCTATACGGACTTCGCGGATCCGTCTTGCCATTCTCTTTGAAGTGCAATTTTCCTTATGTTTATAGTTCGCCTATAGTCATAAGAAACGTAAATTATGATTCATTTCGAACAATTCTATCGAATGACATATTAAATTGATTACAAAATTAACCATAATTTTTCAAATTCTCGATAGACAATACCTACAATGCGAATAACAGTCAATGAAAAGAAACTTGAAAGCAATGATAATGCAAGTTACAATCCTTCAACAGTTTGGATTTGGCTTGGCAATAAGGTAGAAGGTACAGTCTCTTTCTCTGACTTTGCATTATTACTAGTAAAACCGTCGTATTCTACCTATCATAAACACTGACAGATATTTCCAGCGATATTTGAAAGTCTTCTAACATGACCATTTTTTTTTAACCCCGTGTTTATTCAAATTTTATACAAAGTGACAATTTTTTACAATTTATCATTTTTTTAAACGTTTGAAATATATTATTCTAAATTTCTGTAACCGTCAATAAGTGTCATAAAATCATAAGGTTACAATTTGACTTATTATTAGTTATAAATATAAAGAATACATTCTCTCTCTCTCTCTCTCATATCGGTTTTTATAACCACAAGTTCGGATCGTTAACATTATTGGACCATTATGTCACCAATTATACTTCGAATATATGATTAAAGAGATTTAAATAAAATTATTATTAGTATTATAATATTATGGTTAAAGCTACAGAAAAAACCAGCATTAATAACAGTATTAATAACAAACATATACATGTATTCGAAAAATAAAAATCGAAGATATTCCTCCTTATTAAAAAATTCAAATTTCTTCAATGTCAAATTAAACTCCAAAACTTAAATTTCACTAATATTTAAAAAACATTAGGTTTTGTCAATTTAGAGCGCATCCCTTTGAGTTATATGTATGCCTGATGCAGGTATTAAGATGATTAATAAACGGTTAAAAGCGTATCGCACGTATCAACGTTTCCTTCGAATTTTGCTTACCATTACTGGTTGTTGGTACATGCCAACAAAATTCGACAAATTAATGTATTATTGGTCAGTGTGTGTGTTCTTGTCGATGATTATTTACACAATGCTAAGCTTGCATATAAGCTGTGTCGTCAGACATAATGTGAAGATCATGATGAAATTCGTTGGAGTAGCCCTATCAGGAATTAGCGCCATTATCAAGGTACTGTCTAGAAAGAAACTGCATTTTATTACATAAAAAAATAAAATCAGAACAATTATATTTTACATGTAATAAAACATAAATAAATTATTTATAAAAACACTAATATACACACGTAATATGATTAATATGATTAATTAATTCAATGAATCTAACAAATTCATTCAAAATTACATTTTTTCGATTAATTTTAAAAATAAATTTTATTTTACATGTTTTTATGTATATTATACATATATTAACATTTATTAAAGAATAAACTCAATTTAAAATCGAACAAAATGAAAATTTATAGTAGAAACCATTTGTAAAAAAAGAAATGAGCGTATTTAGCTAATCGATTAATCTTTTCATAAACATTTCAATAAATACGTATTATTCTTTCGTAACGTTTTTTGAAGATAGGAATAAATTTTGATTTGAAAAATTCGAATATTGAAATCGTGATATTAAACATACTACGTGTCAATATCTAACAAATTTCTATTTTTCGCACGGAAAGAAATACATTTCTTGTTTTCTTTAAGATACTAAGTTTCAAAATAAATCGCGACTCTCTGATAAATTATCATCGGACATTGAATGATCTTTTCGAAGAGGAGCTTATGCAGAAAAACGAAAAAGTTCAGACAATAATATTTTCGCCTCTGCCTAAAATATCTACTCTAGCATATATATATTTCGCCATTCTAACAGGAATCATTTTCGCATATTCTAAGACTCCGTATATTTGTGTAATTCAAAATCTTCTTTATTTTCATTTATCCACGAACTGTACCTTACCACTCAGCATGGGATTCGGATGGTTCTGGACTGTTCCTGACAATTTTTTATTTCATATACATATGTTCTACGAAACAGTCCTCATGACACTCAGCTGCATGATGGCGTGCAGTGTCGACAGCACTTTTGGCTTCTATGTTTATCAGTTCAGCTCGACAATACGTTCCATGATGTTCGCTCTCACGAATCCTCTGTCTACTGAGAAATTCTCGGACCTCTTGAGAACATGCGTAGTCAAACATCAGAAGCTACTGCAATGTCGTAACACGCTGGAGCACGTTTATGGACCAATCGTCTTTTGGCATATTATCAGCAATGCCGTGCTTCTTTGCACTATAATATCCGACATGACATCAGTATGTAAACACATTAATGTAAAATATTGAGATGTTTAATTTTGTTATCTAGTCCACTGTGTGCAGTCGTAATCTGTCACAAAATACAGAATCAAAGGCTGCACAGTGCTTGAAAGTTTTTCACTCCGCTAATGGTATTGCATTACACAAGTATTCACTGACATGATATTAATCGTTGAACATTTGCAACAGTTATCAGGCAACGTGACCTCATGTATAATATACGCTCTAATAAAACTGCTTCAAACATTTATGTACGCATGGTATGGCACTCTTCTCACAAATGCGGTAAGTTTTTGTAATTCACTCTGTTAAATCTGTAGTGTCAGATTTAATCTAATGTAAGTCGCCACTGCATCTATACTCAATTATATCGTTATATTATATTAAAACAATAATTATATTTGACACTATACAATATCAAATTGACACGATATAGTGTTAAATTTAATGATTGTTTTAGTATTAAAATAACGATATATGTAGTAGGAGTAGTGGCGACACATACTAGGTTAAATTTGATATTATAGATTTAACAGAGCAGTAAAACAATAAATGTAATTTAAAATTGACCGTTCTGGATACATGTATTTAGGGCGAGGATTTTCGTCAAGGAATATACTTTAGCAAATGGCTCAATTCTAATCTCGATTGTCACGTAAGAACAAACGTTATTCTGATGATGATGCAAAAGCCAATGACTGTAAATGCAGTTTTTTCTCCCATCGATGTAATCATGTTTAGCAATGTAAGTATTTATTATAAGACAGTTTAATAAAAAAAACATCAGAATAAGATTACTTTACTTTCTGTAATTTTTGGACGCTAAATACAAATCTGATTTTCACATTGTTCTATTACGTCACAATTTTGAGAAATTTTCAATTAAAGTTGAAAAAAAAGACTATTTTCACATGTTTTGTTATTATAATTACGATGTATGGCGTGCTGGAAAAATTTAATCAAATTTAAATGAAATTAGTCCAAATGGCCTATAAGCGTACAAAAAAACTAACTATGTAGAGTCCGATCGAAACCACATTTTGACCTCAGGCCGAAACCGAAAACGAATATTCGGTTATCATTTAATTTCGGCCGAAAACGAAACCGAAACCGAAACTTAGATAAGTCTTACTAAAAAAAAAAGGAGAGAGAGAAAAGCTAACGAAGTCACATTTTTTCGATCGGAGTCGGAATCGACATTTTTGAATTAATTTTATAGAGACCGTATGATTTTCAGAAATCATATGATAAATTTATGTAAATTTATTAATTTTGTATTTAACAAATTTTGGTCTGTGACTCCTTATGGCTGCACGTATAAAGTTGATGCTATTGACCAATTTTATTAATATGTGATGCTCTATCAAATAGCATATGAAATAGTGACTCTAATTTTAAATAATGATTCCATATTATACCCTTCAAATTTGAAATTTGTATGACAAGCAATGCCATAACATGGAACCAATAGTCTAAAAAAAATTTTAATTAGGCATATGGGTAATTTTGAAGATACGGAAAGCAAAAATTGGTCCAAAATTTCCATTGTTCAAGCACTATAGACAAAACACAGAAGGATGTTAATCAGTGGGATTTTGATTAGAATGATTTAACTCCTTCATCCCTGTTGTTTAATTTTTTCAAGAGAGAAGATACGCAAAAATATGTTTAGGAGATCTTTTTTGTGTAGAAATTTAAGACAAACGGCTTTTATCGTAAATATTTTTTCATATCTGCATTCGTTCTCAAGAAAGGGGCTGCGCGCAATATATATATATATATATAATATTAAAGGAATAGGGAACAGGGGACAAAGAATAAGAATTTTAACCTATCAGAAATTGTGTATTCCACAGTATATGATTTCTGACAGGTTGAAAATCTTGTTCTCTATTCTGTGTTTCCTATTCCTTTGATTGTGCGCAGCTCCAAACTCAGCAATAACTATTTTGAGGATATAGTACTACTATTATGAAAAATTAGGCAATAGTGATGGAGAGATCAGAAAACCATTCTGACTAATTCTATTCAATTCGTTTTAATCATTTCGTTTTATCTAAATTCTCTTTATTTACAATATAAATTTGAAAATAAAAATTAGTAGTTTGATTTCTCGTATATCTCGAAAACCTTTACGTTCAAATTAAATTTTTTTCGACTGTCCCTATATTTAACTTAAACTTTTTGAAATTGATGTTCCATTATAATGTTCGATTATTGAGGTCACTCTTTTTGTCAAGCTGAAATCCTATAAGATGGGTCAACTTTTTAATAAAAACTCCTGACTAATTGTCGCGACCATGTTGAATCGTGATATTATAAGCGAGAAATGGCACGTTGAAGTTTCTTTCATGCTATTTATATTGTAAATAAAGAGAATTTAGATAAAAACGAAATGATGACATGTTTTAAAATATTCATTATTTTGTTTTATTACAAATTCTCTTTATTTGTGAAGATTTCTTCGAATTTGTATCAATTTTATTTTTTAGAAAAATTTAGAAAAATTTCTACATTGGCTAATAATATTTACAATTATATACTTTCATGCTTATTAATCTAATTCTAATTATTTCTCTTTCATTAATAGTTCATGAATGCTACAATATCCTATTTTTTCCTGTTGCAATCTATGGAATAAGGATAGATATAAGATGGATAAAAATGTATAAAGTTATAAAGATGAAAGTAAAGAGATGGACACTATGTATGTTTATAAACCTCAGTAAATTTGTAAAATTATTACATTGTGTTATTATTGTGTTATTAATATAATTTAAAGACATACAATCAATATAATCTATTAAGATTCATTTTTATTGTTACACGATTAATAGTTAATCTTTAACTCTTTCTTTACAGCACACTTGGACGCGAGTATGATTCCTCTGTATGTAACAATCCGCCGCGAATGTACACTTCGCGTAAAAAGAATAAAACATGTGAATAGATAATGTTATGTAGATGAAGTAAAATATGCAATAACAATTATATGTATAACCGCTCGATTATTTGACACAGCAAAACAAATTATCAAATAAAACGACCAATAAACGAACAAATTAAGATATTAAATTAACAATTAACGTATATTTGAATTCCGCGACAATAAAATTGCATACAAAAAATTATTAAAACGTTTGAACTCACAGTCTTCTTAAGTTACAATTCGAACAATAAAAAATTATCCTAACATTCTAATCATAGACATAAAAGACGATGGAATTCAATGTCGTAATCATATGGAAACACATAGGATTGGCATACCAAGTCCGCAAAAAGTAACATTAAAATAAACTTAACGGGATTCTCATCGTTAAACGAGGATTTAATTATAAATTTGACATTTTGACGTTACTTTTTGCGGACATGATGTGTCAATACTATGATATGTTAGATTGTGGGATGATTGCGACATTGAATTCCATCGACTTTTATGTCTACGATTAGAATGTTAGGATAATTTTTTATTGTTTGAACTGTAACTTAAGACTCTGTAAGTTGAAAGTGAGTTTTAATAATTTTTTTATATACAATTTTTTTGTCGCTGAGTTACAATATACGTAATTGTTAATTCAACATCTTAATTGATCGTTCTATTTGATAATTTATTTTGTTGTGTAAAATATGTAATCTTATAAAATAATTTTCTAAATGTTTTATAAAAATAAAATTTAAATAAAAACAAATGTTCCTCCAATTATAAATATTACACGGCTGAACTAAAAAAAATATATAATCGCATTTTTAATATGTAATTAATCCGATGTAAAAGACAAACTGTCAAGTTTTGCTGTTTTCATTTAAACATCATTATCGTCGTACTGTGTGGTGTACTGTTGCAATTTTTGACGTAAGAAACAAGTGAAAATGAAAGCGGGAATGAGATAGCGTATGTGTTGTTTTTCCGCATCCAATTAACGGTAGTTTCACGACATTTAGGCTGCGTTCGTTTTGGACGTTCACGCGCTTTAAACTGACTTTTTATGCGCAACACGCTGCGACAGCAAAATGTCATGCAATTCAAATGAAGAGCGTTACCTCATGAAAAATTTTTAACCAATAATAGCATTTTGCTGCACACGAAAAGTCAAAGAAAATATACACACGTATATAAACATACAGCGCATACCTTCTACTCAACTCTCGTCTCGAATCTGGTATTACTGCCCTGATACTTCGCAAAGACGAGTAACATTGTGTGTGTTTTCTAGCAAGGGCAAAATGTAACACAATGATAATGAACATTACAACAGCTTTGCTGTTCGCCAACGTTAAATAAGTATAAAATGATTGATTGTGTTATATGCGTCCTTATTGGAAAACGTCCTATGACAATTATATGTACAGACGGTCACAGAAAGGTGGCAACACTTCTTTTTCGATAGATTTCGAAACTCAGCTTTGCTCCTAAAGCAGTTGAACGTAAATGGTTCGATCCATAAGTAAGAATCAATCATAAATAAGCTGCATTCTGAAATCCATCACCCAAAAAAAAATATTCTGCTGATCTTTACTTTGTAGAGTATCCTCTTGAGATCATATATAAATGGAAAATCCTCTGACATTACACGGAACCGCTAAATCGCAAAATATTTTTTTGGGTGATCGAAAAAAAAGGGTTGCAACCTTTCTGCGATGGCTGTGCATATGTATTTAATGGATGTTTTTTGTATATAATTGTATAAAGCAAGAACTGCTCCTTATGATCGTTTTAGATAAGTTTTATACAATCTCTAATTCTAAATATTTCGTTAAAAATGGATTCTTTATGCTGTTCTTTATTTTTAGTTGTGATTTTGATGAAGAGAATCAATGAAAAGAAACACCTATATCTACACTGAAAAAAATGCATGTAATTTTACATGGAAATTATATGTTCAGGACTGGAAAATTACCTAAATATAATTGAAAATTTACAATTTCCAGTAAATTTCCAATCATATTTAAGTAAATTTAGATAATTTTTCAGTCATAGACATGTAATTTCCATGTAAAATTACACGCATTTTTTTCAGTGTATATTGTGTAAGAATATCGAAAGGCTATCATCTATAGCGACGCTTCGTTTGCATGACGATAGAGATCAGTTTTCTTTACACATCAATTAATCCTGTAATTCTGTGCTTAATAGCATTAAAGTACAGTTATAAAATTTTACAATAACTCTCTGGAAAATGAAGAGATAAATCGCACTGACATAAAATGTAAAATACAATATTATATCATAAGCTACTGATTTTTCTCACAACATATCTTGAAACGTCATCATGAGCAGAATCAGAGTAGTAATATCGCTTTATTAAATTAACAAGCAATTTAATAACTTTTTTAAAACCAATAAGCATCTTAAAATATTAATAACAAGATGTTAATGAGAATCTTAAAATCTGCGAATAATCTAATGCGAAAAATATTGCCTCAGTCAGGATTTGAACCTGAAACATCAGTGGTATTACCACTTTGATTCTGTCCATGATGGCGTTTCAAAAAGATTTTAGCGCGCAGTATGCGGAATCAAATATATACTTAAATTCATGCAGAAGTGTTTAAAAATAAAAAATGCATTCTTCTCAATTTTCATAAACACAGGTTAAGAACGATACAACATTATTGAACATATTATCAATTATACTTCGAATATTATTAGATTTAATTGTAATCATTATTATTGCCATTATTATTAAAGCTACAAGCAAAATTAGTATTTTTAAAAAACAATGAAAAAATAAAAATCGAAGATATTACTTGTCATTAAGAAATTTCAAATTTCCTCCCTTTCTCTCTGCTAATTTTAAACCCCCAAATTTAAATTTTATTGATATTTTACTAATATTAAAAAAACATTGAGCTTTATCAATTTAGAAGCCCTTTGAACTATATGTATATGTGATTATATATATATATAGGTACTAAGATGATTGATAAACGGTTGAAAGCGTATCGCATATATCAACATTTCCTTCGAACTTTGCTCACCATCAGTGGTTGTTGGTACATGCCAACAAAATACGGCAAATTAATGTATTATTGGTCAGTGTGTGTGTTCTTATCGACGATTATTTACACAATGCTAAGCTTGCATATGAGTTATATCTTCAGACATAACTTACGGATCATGATGATATACATTGGCGTTGCAATATCAGGATTTGGCGCCATTCTCAAGGTACGATTTAATAGGAAACAGCATTTTATTACATAGGGGGACATAATCAAAAAAATATTTTACATGTATACAATAAAACAATAATATATTAATTTATAAATATATTAATATATACATGTAATATGATCAATATAATATAGTATACTCTCTAAATCTGAATCAGTGGATAGTCACTAATTACCCAGTGATAATTAGTGACTATCATACTTGGCACTGATAATCAGTGAAGTTCAACTAAAAAAGAAAGAATATTTGATCATTATTTGACTAAAATACTGATATTTGCACGTTAATTTCAATCTTCCAATACCATATTCATTGAATTTAACAACTAAAACAAGATTAGTTAGATCACGTAATAAAGATTAGCTAGGTTAGGAATCTCACATTTAATTCACTGATTATCAGTGGCATACTTGGCACTGAGATCAGTGATTATCCACTGATTCAGATTTAGAGAGTACAATACATAATATATTCCCGCATTAAACTTCAATGAATCAAACATGTTGCGAAATTATATTTTTCGTTTAATTAAAAAAAAAATTTTACTTCACATGTGTTTTTACGTACATATGTTATCAGTTATTAAAGAATCAATCTGATTGAAAATTGAAAAAAATAAAAAATTGCAACAGAAACAATTTGCAAAAAAGAAGTGAGCATATTTAGCTTATAACCGATTAATTTTGTAACACCATTTCAATAAAAATTATTCTGTCTTAACGTCTTTCGAGAAGAAAAAAATTTAGATTTGATTCGATTCGAAAAAGATTAGATTCGAAATTCAAATATAACAAATTTAAAATCGTAACATTAAAGATATTACGTCAATTTCTATGTAATTAAATAATTTCTATTTGTCATACGGGAAGAAATAAGCATCTCTGATCTTCTTTAAGGTGACAAGCTTCATGATAAATCGCAACTCTCTAATAAATTATCATCGGACGCTCAATGATCTTTTCGAGGAAGAGATTAAGCAAAACAAAAAAATCCAGAGGATAATATTTTCGTCCCTGCGCACAATATATACTCTAGCATATATATATTTCATCTTTCTGGCATTTCTGATGTTTGCGTTTGCTAAGTCTTCGTTTATGTGTATCATCCACAATCTTTTCCACTTTCATTTGCCCACGAACTGTAGCCTGCCACTCAGCAGGGAAATCGGATGGTTCTGGAACATTCCTGACAATTATATATATCATCTATATATGTTCTACGAGACAAGCACGATGGCATTCGCCGTTTTGATTCCGAGTGGCGTCGACAGCGCTTTTGGCTTGTATGTTTATCAGTTCAGCTCGATACTACGCGCCATGATGTTCGCACTTACGGATCCTCTGTCCACTGAGAAGTTCTCGGATCTCCTGAGAATGTGTGCAGTGAAACATCAGAAGCTACTACAATGTCGCAACATACTGGAGCATGTCTATCGACCCATCGTTTTTTGGCATATTGTCACCAAT